TCTCTCTGTCTCAAATAAATAAATAAAATCTTTTAAAAAAAAAAAAAAGAAATGATTTCAATCCAGGTCTTGATGAGAGGTGCAAATGAACCACAACAGAATAGTCAATTGATAGTTGAAATACATCCTTGACATGAGAGGAGTAAGTCGTTTTAACACAGTCTGTTTTATTTTATTGAAACAGTCATTTTTAGCTCTTTTAAATTTATTTAAAATTGGTTTGGATTTCCTAGAAATGTTTGGAATTATGAGCTTACTCATAACAACATAAAGAAGTTTGGATTCTTAATTTTAAATGTCAGGGAAATTCTTTTTTGAGTCTCCTCACCCCTGTTATTTTCCTCGTGATTATGGCAGTTAGCCGTGCGCTAGGATGACTATCCTGCTGTGGTGTTAATCAGATGAGAGAAGATCCTGCTGGGAGTTGTGGTAATTACACTGGGATAGTTCATCTCTTTTTGAACTCTCTCTAGGTCTTCATTTTTCCTAACAGCAACAGTGATACTAATTAAAAATGGATGTTAATTATAAAAGTTTAAAATATCCTTCCAAGTTAACATAATCTTCTCCACCAATGAGAGACATAAGTTTTTACATTCTTGTGGCACTTTTGTCTAGCTTTTTAAAATGAATAAAAGAAGTTTTCATAAATGATAAATGCTACTCTATACAGGGTCATATTTTTCATCCTTGTTTAGGCATATTTTAGTCCCTAAACCCTTTTCATTTATTAACAAGTAAACCTTCTATTAAACTTTATGGCTTATAAAATTGGCATCCTGCTTACAAAGAGTAGAATGTTTATTGAGGCTTTGAAAATCAATCTTTATTTATAGAGGGTTACTAAACATCAACTAGCTGAGGTTTTTTTTCAAGAATGACAAATGCAAATAGAATTTGATGTTAATGTATGTATATATCCATTGAGGTGTTTCATCTAAACCTATTTTTTCATTGAGATTCAATTCATATAACCTGGTATTGCAAATGAATGTGAATAATATTTATTAATAAAACTATGTCTCTGAAAATAATAAAATCAGTGTAAAAAATCACAAGAGTATTAGTAATGTATGTTGGTCATAGATAATGGAGAAAATTGGTAGTAAAATTGTGTTAAGAGGATATGGATAGGGATATTATAAAAAATCTCAGGCATTTGTATGCTTAATTTAAACATAAAACAGTAATTCAAAATTTGGAACTATTAGTTGGTTTCAAATTAAATTTATTTTTTACTTTGCATAAAAAGTATTAAAATGTCCAGAAAACATCCTCTAAAAGAATAAATCCTTCTGACTCATAAGCACCAGATAAAGTTCTAGCAATTGTTGTATGAAATCTGGGACAAAGAAGCTAATTGAGTGTATTATTATAAAACTCTAGGGGGAGAAACAACAAGTTCAGCAGAACTGTCAAAGGTTTAGAATATCTCTACTCTTTATAGGATTAATCTCTGTGGAAGCACAAGATCTGAAGTAAATTATGAAAGAAGCAATCACATTTTAAGTGCTAATGTGACTGAAGAGACTGTCATTTTACGGATAACCAGAGTGTCTTTAAATATGAGATACTCAAAAAAAGGGTTTTCAATTTAATCCTCCATCAAATTCCTCGAAAACACACTTACATATTAAATAAGTTAGATATTAATATATTGTTTTAAAATAAATCTTATTTCACAAATTTTGTATAAATACTGCCCACTACAGTATAATTTTTCAGAAATTTTTGATATTTAACTTGGCCAAAAGCAGGTGATCCCAGGTCTGGAGCAGAGCCTTCTAGACATGTGTGTGGGAGAGAAGCGAAGGGCAATCATTCCTTCTCACTTGGCCTATGGAAAACGGGGATTTCCACCGTCTATCCCAGCGGATGCAGTGCTGCAGTTTGATGTGGAGCTGATTGCACTGATCCGAGCCAACTACTGGCAAAAGCTGGTGAAGGGCATTTTGCCTCTGATAGGCATGGCCATGGCGCCAGCCCTCCTGGGCCTCATTGGGTATCACCTATACAAAAAGGCCAACAGACCTAAAGTCTCCAGAAAGAAGCTCAAGGAAGAGAAACGAAACAAGAGCAAAAAGAAATAATAAATAATTTTTAAAAATTT